ACTATGCCCAAATCCCACACTTCAACTTGCTGCTCTAATTCTTATATATTGACGATTCATACTTTCCAATTACCAGTTCAAAACAAGAAGGCGCATCACTTTATCTAACAGCAATCTTATTCACTATATTCAGTTTATGTATATTTCATTGTGAGCTAGTTACTGAAAGGAAGCATTCTGTTCAGGTAGGTGTTCACCTAGCTTTATATTCGAACAAAGCATCAGCTTACCACGTCACTGTTTGAAACTAGAATCAGAAAGCTCCACCGAGGAGATGATAGAACCTTACTGTAGTCAAGGTCATCTCGAGTCTAGAACACACCAACTGCATCAAATTGAGACCTCGGCGAATGACAGAAAAAAGCAACAATTCCTCGCTAATCGGGTGCTGGCAAAACACTTTCATTAAAAAAATGGGTTGTGAGCAGGGCAGTGAAACCTTTATCACCAACTTGCCTTTATGCCACATTTACTTCAGTTTTTTAAAGAAGAGAGTTCTGAAACTGGAACTTTCTGTCCCAACAAGCTGTTCCGTTGATGCTTACACGAGAGCTGCAGAATATTCGTTACCCCATAATACTACTCCAATGCCCAGGCGATTGAGCAAAAGTTTGATATTTTTAAAGTCGAAGTGTGAAGTGGTGATGGAGATGCATCAGTTTTCTGAAGTCATCTATGGAAACGCCACCGTATTTACAGCTCAGCTGTGGCGCACATGACGCACACGGGCTCCGTAGACCTCGCACTGAGAAAGATGTATCTCCATCGTTCTCACACACATCAGCTCTACCCAAAGGGGTTTCAGTTGGTAACCAGCGCACTGTGCCCACCATCTCGACTGGGAAGGTCGATTGATGAGACAAATGACGTGACCAGATGATCAAGATCAGTTTGTCCAGATGCTGAGCTCGCCGAAAATGGTTTTCATATTTCCTGGTCTAGGGAACCAAAACGCCATCACCGTCCTAAATGGGTCGCTTTGTGGAGATCACCTTTAAGGCAGAACTGACAACCCCATGGCTCTGTCCGCATACCACATTCCAACACTGATGCAATGACCTACGCTTCCAATTTCCAAACCCTATTGAACCCAAGTTCGAAGATCCTCCAAAACGTCCACACTGAAAATAAAAAATAAAAAACTCTGGCCGTTTCAAGTGAAGTGACTTCCGTGAATGGTGTCCAAAATGCGGAGCAGAGCTAGTCGCCCTCACGCATGTCCTTCGAACCACGTGGGCGACCAAGATTAGCAGCAGCACTTCAATGCTTCACTAGCGATGGCGTGAAGAACTGTCTACTGACACCAGCCGAAATGGAATGCTTGGACTTACGCATATTCACGTGAGATGGACATGTTGTGCTCCCAATACAAATTCACTAATTCGAAAAGAGTAGACTCGGTGAGCGTGTAGTCGCATCCAGACATGGTGGTCGACAGTCATGGAGGTCCAGGTTCCACAAAGCCTCCACAAAAAACACCACACAGCAAAGGTCGGAGATGATCTGGTTAAAGCCTGAGACTTTTGCGACAGCATAGCACAACACTTCTCTTCCTCTTCTTTCATGGCCTAATCCAACCAACCCAGCTGGTCCGAAATACTGAGCCAAGCTTTTGCAAACAATGGCATGACCTTGTGAAGTAGCAACAGCGGTCGTGGGCCCTTCTGAGGAGGAAGACTTCAACACCCACGCAGCAACCCTGACATACCCAGATTTTCATGAGCAATACCATGCAAGCCGAAAAGCCATGAACAATCACGATTAATGCTCAGCGATGGTGCTCTCACTTATGTGCTGCACGGGCCAGATCTGATGTGAGATCGCCACCGCTGAAGACTCTGCTTACTCTCTGGTATTGTGATTCCTGCTTCTTCATGTTCTATTGTTGGTCCTTTGCATGGATTGATTGTGTGAAAAATTGCATCCAATTGGTGCAAGTTTGTGAAAACCATCGTGGAAAAACTCCACGCACCGTTCGGACAGTTTCAAGCTTCAAAAACCCATTCTGTTGCCGAAAGCGTCATTTTGAAATTGTTTTTTGTTTTAACTTCATCAGGGAAAATGCTTCTCCTGAAAAATCTAGCAGAGGTGGGGTTTTGGTTGAATTGATTTCTTTACCAAGTACTTTCAAGAATGCTGTCATTGAGTCCTTTCAGTGAATAGGCATGGAGTTACTGCTTGTTCATCCATGTCCGTTAATGAATCTGCAATGCATGTTCATGTTAAATGAACAAGTGAGTGCATACATAATTGAAGAGAAATAATTCTCACTCACATGTTTATTTATCAATAGTGGATACAAAATGTTGGACAGCAAAGAATCATGTTTATTTCACATATTTTTATATACATGTAATTGAAGAGACAAAGAAGAGATATTTAGAGAGAGAGAGAACCTGAGAAGAAATGACATATTTACATATAATAATAATACTATTCACATTAATTTTTTATTCTCACATAATATTTGACTTAGTCATCTGAATATGAAACTTTTGAATAATAAAGAGTATAATTAAAAGATAGAGAAAATTTATAAATTAATAAATATTTATATATATATATATATATATATATGTTTGTGTGTGCAAGAGTTCATCTTTTGCTAATAACTATTTGTATTCAACCAAAAATATTGTATTAAAACTTATTATTGTTATTATTATGCCTACCATGAAAGAAACCACCAAATAAAATAAAATAAACCATTCTATTTCAAAATTTACTAATGATGTAAAAGTGTGATCTGTTATCTTAAAAATCATATTTCAAAATTACATTTTTTGATAATAATATATAATTAAAAATATGATATATTAAGTAAAAATAAGTAAAAATATGATAAATAAAACTTAACAAATCTAGTCCGAGTTAAGTGAGAATTGCATGCAGAAGTAGCAGCTATTTAATTTGCTTTTAGGTGGCAATGGACTTCCAGTGAAACCGCAAAAATAGCTCCGGATGGCAGAGAATAAATAAAACACCATTCCACCATGCATTTCCTGTCTCTCACTCTCTTTTACTGTACTGAGGAGGAAGAGGAGGAATCTAGGAAAATGATGAAGAGGAGAGATCCTCCCCTCTCTTTATATTATTATTATTATTGTTATTAGTACTACTACTATTATTATTGCTCTTAATTAATTAATTCCCCATCCATACATACCTTTTCATTCTCTCCCTCCTGTATCTTCTTCACATGGGTGGGGACTTCTTCTTCTTATTATTCTTCTTTGGTGAAGGGGGGTGGGAATCATTCAAACAGGACACTGCCATTGAGGAACATCACATGCTCCTCCTCCTGCTCTCACCACAAAACCCAAATAGTTCTTCCTCTTCTGCATGGGATGGAACGTGGGAAACCCATACCATACTATACACATATATATATATATATATATATATACTATTTTACTGTCTCTACTGGGTTAACAAACCACCTTCTTCTTATTCTTCTTCTTCATATTCCCCATGAAATGTAATACCTGGAATATGGAACCATTGAAACCAAAACAGCTCATTTTAATTTTTTTAATTTTAATTTTAATTTTTTTTTCTATTCCTGTTTCTAGCTGAGAAGGGAATGACAGACAATGGGAGACAGACATGTGTTATTCCGTGAGTGAGTGAGTGAGTGAGTGAGTGACTGGGAGTGATGATGTGGCATCATCCACCTCATTTATTAAAGGAAAAAAAATGAAAAAATGAAAAGGGGGGTGTGGGGGGAGTGAAAGTGGAGAAGTACTGCAATTCGTTATTTTTTTAATTATTATCCACTGAGAGTGAGAGAGAGAAGAGTAGTAACCAACCCCCTGTTCATAGCGCTAAAAGACGTGGTGCACTGGTAGAAAAATATGGGCCTGTTTTTCTCTCATGTATCAACGCAGCGCCTAACGACGTTCATGGACTACAGTGCCTAACCACGACGTTGTTTAGGAGATGAGATGCAGATTGATTGAGCAGGAATGGAATAGATGTGTGTACCCTTGTGTGAGTGAGGTTCAGTCGCTGAAGTCTTCCTTCCACAGATGGTCGCCGAACCTCGTTGTTGGATTCCACTCCACCTTGCCATTAACACTTCGGTATGATCGCGAACTGTTCCTTCGCCAAACTCAAAATGGAACTTTCACGTTCTGTTAAGTTACCGTGAACTCCAGCAAAGCGAGATGCATGCCGCGAATCAGAACGCCGTTTTGTCTCGGTTGTTTATCCCGTGTATGGATTTGTCCCACCACCCCCCCCCCCCCGAGCAATTCTATATAATAGACTAGATTGTTATTGTGTTGATTGTTATTGTGTTGCTGTTTTCTGGTTTCAATGATGAAGAGTTTCGCATAATCTACTGGCTACGGTAACAACGAGGCAATCTCAATTCTGATCATGAGTTATATATATATATATATATATATATATTTGTAGAATATGTGAAAGTTCCACTCTCACTTGCGTCCTGTGACCATCAACTCACTACCAAGTCACGCAATCAATAATGTACAGTTTCGGTGATGATGACGCTGCGTCGAGCTTCATGCATGCTGTTGTAGTTAATCTTAACTGAAACAAAACATATTCATCGAAAGAGGGAATAGCGAGGAAAGAAAAGGATTCGGAGGGAGGGGCAAGGGAGGGAGGGATGTGGGGTGAGGGAGGCTTATATAATATTCAAGACAATGCCAGAGAGTGGTCTTCAGGATTGTTCCTTTGCCTTTAACTCTTCTACAAGGTTGTCTTTTGTTGTCTTTAAGCTTGTCCCTCCTCCTTTCTCGCTCGCTCTCTCTCTCTCTCTCTCTCTCTCTCTCTTCCAAGTTCATTCAAGCATCTATCCCATTTTATCCTGATTCCTTACACTGGTATCTGATGCTGCGAGCCCATTGAAATTGACATGTACGAAGACGTCATCCTTATCCTGCAGATGTCGCACTGGTTCGTTAGCCAGTACTGGCAGTCTGTTGCGAATGCGTACTTCAAAGTTTGCCGCCGTGTGCAGAGAGCGAACAGAGTAAACGGGGGCGTCGACGCCGTGGAGGACCAGTTGCTGCACTGCTTTGTGCACCACCACAACTCGAAGCGGTCATCACACTGTGGCTGCACACCAAGTTTCCTGCACAGTACCTGTCAACTGCGAGTGGACCTGTGGAAGTAATCTACGTATTCAGCATATCGATTCCGGTCAAGAGGGATTTGCAGCAGCAGCAGCAGCAGCAACCATGGGTCACGTCAATTTCAAAGTCATTCTTGGAATCTTGGGTAATGCTCGAACCCCTTGGAGATGTGAAGCATGAGTGGGTCATGAAGCTGGACATGGAATGAGTGAGTGGGTCAGAGCAGCCATAGTCGTGCACTGGAAGTGATGGGAAGTGGAGACTGAGCAATGAAACATGTGGAACGAACATGGTGCTGAGCTGATTGTTGCGAGAGTGAGTGAGAGAGAGATCGAGAGAGAGGTGGAGTTGTGTGTTAGTGAGAGCATTAGACATGCTGGTCATCCACACTGTTTCGCTGCTGTCATGCTTCCTTTTGTGGTTCCAAGCATGGCTCCTGATCTCTGATCACCAGAAAACATCTCCTGCGAAAGTTTATGTTACATTTAAAATATCAACCAAAATAGCCATGTTTGAGTGGGGAGCATACAGGGAACATGTCGTTTATTTAATACATGGTCATATTCTGGACACAAATTGCTAGCACAGGGAACTAGAGAATCTCAAGCTTTTCCATCAAATAAACAATCAACTCAGGGAATTCATTTAACGTCGAAACCATAGACTGATACAGAACAACTTCTCTATCAAAAAATGACGCTGAAAGTTGAGGTGATTAGATGCTCACTTTTGCATAATAATGTATTTGTGAACAACAATCTACTCTGCCGAAGACTTTTCTGAGCTTTCAATTCTAATGTCTACTTTCATTTTTCACCTAACGTAGCCTGACTAGAGATGAAAGAGATTTTTAACTGGCAATATTGCTACATAACCTAATCTTCATGAAAGGCGTCCATCAGATACAATTTACTGAGGCTCTGTCCAGCAAACCTGTTTCAAAGAACCAACCGCGAGGTTAGGATTTGATAGCCAACCATAATTTGAGAGCAGATCACTCTGCTAAGCACTGACATTAAATTGTAATATAAGCGATCACAGAGGATGCATTCATCAAATGAATCGAACCTCAGCAGCTCGTTTCGCACACCTAGTTTTAAGATAACAAGCACATCAAAGAAAGTCCCTTCAATTTTATATTTTACTAGAGTATGCAGACAGTATTCATGCGTGGAAGAAGTGTAGAGCCCATATCCATTCACTGGTATTTTGCAGCTGCTGTCTCTGATCACCAGAAAATGTTTTGTCCCGTGTGCTGTTGGTCAGGAAACATCACTGCCATCTGCCTGTTTACGTCGCCAGTGTGAGAATCTACAACTTAAACTATTCTGTTTTTAACTTGTTGATTGAATAGTTTGTTGTTAACTTGGATAAAATGGCAGTTGGTTGATTTTTTGAATGACATGACAAGTATTACATTTAGAATTAGATTTGTATTGTAGGTAGTAAACAAATCTAATCATGTTTTTGTGTTATGGTAGTCCCACTTTTTCTAAGATTGTGAAGAAGAAGACTGTGGCTGAGTTTTCTGGTATTCCATATGTTTGCACATTGCTCAATTGCCTACTATGGGTTGTATATGGCCTTCCAATTGTGGAATTTCAAGTACTTGTAATCTCCATCAATGCAGCGGGTTGTCTTATTGAGTTTACATATCTTGCATTGTATTTGACATATGCACAAAAAAGTATTAGGGTAAGTTTGTTCTTACTTGCAATTTTATAATAATAATTTTTTACATTTTTTTGTTTATAATTATTTTTGGTTTTTTAGTTATAATATGTTTTATTCATTGCTTATGGCTAATTGTTTATTGATTATTATGCCAGATGAAGGTTATGAAGGTTTTAATGGCAGTTTTGATAACTTTTATTGCGGTAACAATACTTGTGTTGGAACTAGTGCACGACAAGAAAAAACGCAAGCTTATTATTGGAACTCTTTGTGCCGTATTTGCCGTAGGAATGTATGTCTCTCCGCTCACTGTAATGGTATGTTTTTCAAACACATCTACAATTAGTTTTATAAATAATTCTTTCTTATAAATCATTGTGGATTTTTCAAAAATTTATACTTCATATTTTCTTCTTACAGAAAATGGTGATTCAAACTCGAAGCGTGAAGTATATGCCATTTTTACTTTCACTATTCAATTTCATCAACGGTCTTGTGTGGTTTGGCTATGCATTTTTTGGTGGAATAGATATCTTCATTGCCGTGAGTTTTTAACCTTTTTTCAAGTCTTTCAACAATTTGGTTGTTTTACAATATCTATATATATATATATATATATATATAGTGTCCAAATCCTATACTACTAACGATATTTGTGGTTGTTTAGATTCCCAATGGATTAGGGGCACTCTCCGGTATTGCTCAACTAGCATTGTATGCATTTTATAGAAATGCAACACCAAGAGATGAAGATGAGAAAGATGGCCCTACTAAACCTACAAACAACTCTATTGAAATGGAGAAAAACGACACTTATAAGCAATCCAATGTTTGAAAACGAGTTCCATCAAAACATACCATAATTGTACTTAGCAAGACTTACTTTTTAAGCTACGACAAAGTTTTATTTTCCTTAAGTTTGTCTATGTAACAACGGTTGTTGCATGTACAAGCACTTTCTATGTAACTTCTTTTGTGTTTGATTTAAATAAAGATATGCATGCAAATCCGTGATTTGTTAATGTTATAATAAAACTACATCTATTAAGACATTCTGAGTGAAATAAATTCGAGTTTCATTACTGGTATCTGTATCAATAAGAACAAAATTTTATTCCAATACAGTTCTGTGTTAAGAAATAATCAGCATGGATGATAATACTCCTGGCTGTGGCTCCGAAAGGGACGAGCCTCCCCAACATTTTCAAGGCTTTTCACAACAACAGGAAAGGTTTGTAATTCTCCGTTCTTTCCTTGTTTTGTATTCTGGCGATGTCGCACTGGTTAGTTAGCCAGTACTGGAAGTCTGTTGCGAATGCGTACTTCAAAGTTTGCCGCCGTGTGCAGAGAGCGAACAGAGTAAACGGGGGCGTCGACGCCGTGGAGGACCAGTTGCTGCACTGCTTTGTGCACCACCACAACTCGAAGCGGTCATCACACTGTGGCTGCACACCAAGTTTCCTGCACAGTACCTGTCAACTGCGAGTGGACCTGTGGAAGTAATCTACGCATTCAGCATATCGATTCCGGTCAAGAGGGATTTGCAGCAGCAGCAGCAGCAGCAGCAACCATGGGTCACGTCAATTTCAAAGTCATTCTTGGAATCTTGGGTAATGCTCGAACCCCTTGGAGATGTGAAGCATGAGTGGGTCATGAAGCTGGACATGGAATGAGTGAGTGGGTCAGAGCAGCCATAGTCGTGCACTGGAAGTGATGGGAAGTGGAGACTGAGCAATGAAACATGTGGAACGAACATGGTGCTGAGCTGATTGTTGCGAGAGTGAGTGAGAGAGAGATCGAGAGAGAGGTGGAGTTGTGTGTTAGTGAGAGCATTAGACATGCTGGTCATCCACACTGTTTCGCTGCTGTCATGCTTCCTTTTGTGGTTCCAAGCATGGCTCCTGATCTTTTCAACTCAGTCACTCCGACCATTTCGATCATGTTGATCGTCCAGACTTTTACGCTGCCTGCACAGTTTTGGCTTGAAATATATTTTGCAGCTGCTGTCTCTTGAAATGTTCGGTGGCCGCAACCATTGTCGAGTTGTGTGCAGGAAACAACATCAGTGTCATCCCATCTGTCTGTTAATGTCGTCAAGTGTTGGTTGATCACCTTCTGTTTTGTTTTGTTGCAACACAAATGGTACACATTCCATTCATATAGTTAGTTTGTTTCCACACTAGAACAGTGCCGTGCGGTGGACAATATTATGTTCAATATTATGTTCAAGTCAAGTGATGATTCTTAGTTCGGGGTTGTATTTATTTTATCTTATTTTTTAATATGTTTTGGTTTAGATATTGTGACTTGGAGGTGTTAAAAAAACTTGTTAACATAATCTTGTGTTGGATAAGTTCAAAATTCTTTCAAAGTCACAAACTAATGCTTAGAAGATGATCAGATTGTTGTAGTAGAATGCTACTACAATACAATAGGAATATCAATAGTTGAATTTTTAAATTTTGTATGTTAGTAATTTATTGAATTATTTGTTGTGCATTACATGGTGTTCTAATGGATAGAATTTCAAGTGTTCATAGGGAAGTCATTTGGTTGGTTGAATGTAAAAATATTTAGTTAGTAGAGAGTGAATTAATAAAATATATTTCTTTTTAGATAAATTTGCAAATAATTATCTATTCAAGATCCATTTATTTGATTGATCTACAATCACTTTTTTTCTACAATCATGGAAGTTTTTGTTCCTTTTTGAGTGAAATATTTTTCTTACTTATCAATGTAGGGTCAATTAAGTAATTTGAACATGTTTGGATCCATTTAATTTGTTTACTTTAGATAGTTTTATCATACAGAGTGCTAATATTTCTTATAAGAAAAAAAAATTGATAAAAGGAAAGTACAATTCTTATGTTTTGATTATTGATGGTATTAAAATTTGGACCCTTTTATATAATTAATTTCTTTTAAGATAGTTTATCATTAAATATTCCTACATTATGTCTATATTACTTACCTAGTATTAAAATTGGCTCAAAATTGATGAAAATTGTTTGACTTTTTTAAAATAATAAATGTATATATATATATATATATATATATATATATATTTCAAAAATCTTTATTTCAATGTAATTATAATAAAAATATATATGAATAAATTTAAATTATGTTGGTTGCAACTAAATAATATAAAGAAGTGAATATTTTCTTAAATTTTATTTTTTTTGTAGAAAGAGTATTAATATGTTTCAGCATCAAATTTATAAAATTTAAATACTATAGTGTTCTATATCAAAATTTCCAAGTTCTCCTTCATGTGTTTTATTCCTTACAATTTAAATTAAATTATATTGAAAATTAAATTAGCACAATCTAAAAAATAGTAATAAAAAAAATACACATATAATTTCTATGTAATATAATTCCAAGTAAGATTATATTTTAGAATCTACAATTTTATTTTAAATTCGTACCATTTAGTAACAAATTCATTTAATTGTAAGATTCAGTTTCTAATGCTAAGCCCATTTAATCTCTTTGCTTAGCATATGATAAGTTCAAAAAAATGCTTCAAAAGAAGAGCAAATAAACCTTCGTTATTTTGCTTGAAAAAATTGAAGAATTTGTCAATACACTTAAATCTTCACAAATTTATCCAAGAGAAAGTACTTTTTGTGTTTATCAATAGATAAATATTGCCTTATCAATAGATTAATATTGATTCAATTACTGTTTATTAACCTGAACATAAATACTCTTTCTATATTCTGTTTGCAAATATGTATATATGAGTGTATATATTTATATTTATATTTTCCCCTCCATAAAGTTAACAACATGAAACCTACACATAGTTTTTGGATTTCGACCTTTCGAATAGCATTGTTGTTGTTTATAATAAACATGGTAAGACGAGGCAAAGTCTTTTCTCCACCCACATCACTAAATTCCCGTAAAAAATGATAAGAACTATTATTTGTAGTGGCATCTGATTAATATTCACAGAACATAATGTACAGAACATGATGCAGTCCTCGCCAAATTTACATAAGTTCTCATATCGGCACAGCAGCCTCAGGTAACTTAGATAATCAGCAGTACACAACAAAAGTTTGGATTCAATGATTGAGCTCCGCTAGATTCATTCTGCTTGACATGTATCAATTGAATCTTAAATATAGCAAGAGCTTTTTCTGTTCACATGGCTTTAAAACTTGTATAAATGAAAAGCAAAGAAATGTTGAAGGAATATGACCCAAGAGAAGTAACCTTATTTGGATCAACACAAGGGTCTGTGTAACGAAACGGCAATAATTTTGGAAGTTCAGACTAGATAATTATCTTACTGATAAAATTGTGGTGTCAATCAGGGAGAGACGTCTAAGCAATTTATTGAACGATAATGTTCAGCCAAATTACCAGGTGTGTACAACAGAAAAAACGTGTTCAGCAAAATATATGATTAAAACTATTAGACATTTTCCTTGCTCACACCTGCAAGCTCTGGTTTACTTTTCGTGCCCTGCGGAGATATGACCTCAGAGCATGCACGATGACTCAGTCGTAGCTGACCCCTTGCATTAATCTGTAAAACCATTCCATCCATTTGTAAGAATCTTGCTGCACGATTTGGGTAAAAGGTTCATTATCTGCTCAACATTAAAATAAATTTCTGATTTAAAAGTGAAATGTCAACGTCCGAATTTTGCATCTTGCGATGGAAATTAAAAACTGAAATGACGTACCTCAATCAGCTTAACATCTAAGAAATCTCCTTCATTCACAAACTGAACACGCAAGTAACAGATAAAAAAATTAGTGTGCAGTGATTGGGACTATCAAAAGAGCCTGTAGTGATCCACGCTTTACTACGCATTACCATTACCTAGTCAAGTAACCTGCGACCTGTTACGAGATGCATCCTTTGAAACTGTACAAGATCATCCTGAAATGACATACAGAGCCATGCACTTGCAGGGGTGGCTAAACAGAAGTGACACGTCATAACCACTATCTGAGATTGTCATTCTTGAACAGGGATAACATCATATAGACTAACTACAATAGGAGAAACTTACATCTTCAACTCTTGCCAACTTCTTGGTGCTCAATTCGCTAATATGACACAGACCCTGCATTCATAAAATACAAGTTAAGTATGTAGCTACATCATAATACCCTATATGAGTAAATACTCTGTTAAGTTGTAAGCAATTCTAGTCCTGAAAATGAAGGAACCATTCATTACGTATCCAACATACACTAGACATTAAATAGCTTGGAAGTGGCATATAAAAATCAGTCACCATTTGACATCCTCGTAAATATGAAACTGCGTATGTGTGAGATAGGCACTGACCTCTTTCCCTGGAGCTATCTCTACAAAACATCCAAATGTGGTAACACCCTTCACCTTACAATTCCTGCACCAACACTTTCACCACAGTTAGCAGGAACGGATGACCCAAGAAAACTCGATTTGAATCTTAGTGTTTTACCGAATGTAGACGGAATTTTAAGGGGAAACGTTTTGCGCAACATTACAAGAAAATTATTAGGCATGAATATCAGAAAATGTTTAAATCCCAAATATTTTCGAGTCCATAACCATTTGCTTGCCCATAGTTACGAAATGCAAGATGACTAGAAAGAACTGGAAGAGTCAAATATGGCATACCTATATATAGTACCCACTTTGGGGACCATTGTCAAACCTTGAATCTTGGCCTTGGCAGCCTCCACGCCCTGGGGAGATCGCCCTACAATCCTAACCTGGCCGTTGCAGAATCAAAGGGAGAAAGAACATGAGAGGCGATTCAGAGGCAGCGAGTCGACAACTTGTGATACTGGAAACTAGAAAATACATTTAAATAAAAAATACAAATCGTAATGGTGGCGTCAACAGTATTCGAAGTAAACCTTGGTAAGAATAATTTTCCATGAAAGAGAACTTACAGAGCCATCATCAGTAACATCCACTGCCTCAACCCCGGAGGACTCAATGATGCCTCTTATTGTCTTTCCTCCAGGACCAACTACTATGCTTATCTTGTCAGAATCTACCTGCTCCATTACAAACTTATCTTCATCAGAAATTACAAATCAGATAAGGAAGATGACGAGTCTAAACAATGCAAAAGTGTGCCATGTGTGCCGAACTGGTATAATAATCCAATAGCAGCGGTCATCTGGGCAAACAAAAGACTACTATACTACAGATATGTTAAATACATCAAAGTCAAGATACTCTTTGCCTTAAGCAACAGAAACCGACAAACCATCCTAGAAAAATCGACAGGTTACCTTGAACATTGTGATTAGCGGTGCATGTGTTGACACCTTCTGAGCTGGAGGAGGCATGCTCTTTGTCATTTCACCTGCAAAACAAATGTGTCCAGAACCGAGTAAAAATTGAGGTACATGCAAAGAAGTTTTCTTTTGACGGTAACTATGTTTTGAAGTCCTGAACAAGAGAAGGCAAAAACCAACCACATTTCTGCTACGTTAACCATCTGAGGATGTTAACAATAAATACCAATTTACTGCAGACTATCAGAATGGTTACATTTCTTTTGATATTTGGAGTGCATAGGAAGATTATGGATGCTTTAAGAAGTTACCTAGATATTCATACGTTTATGGAGGAAAATATAATAACCTATTTCCACATAAGTGACCGTAGTTCGTAAACAGCGCAATAACCACATTTTAGACGAAAAACAGTACTCAAAGAAAATACCAAGAATATGAAGGCGGCCTGCCTTGGCTTGATCCAACGCCTTTCTCATTACAGGAATTGTAATGCCCTCTACCTGCCCATGTCCAGGTCACTCCGCGTCAGAGCTTGCGTTACCTACATATCTGAACTAAAAAGCTCTTCAATTATGATCGGACACAAATTGCAAAGTTTCTGATATGATTGTTTCACATACCTTGATATCCATTTGAAAAGCCGTGATTCCAGATTCATTCCCAGCAACCTGCCAGAAACATCGATACTAAACATCTTGTAACACGTTCGTAAATGTAAATAAATATGTATGTCAGAATAAAAGATGAAACTAAATGCAGAGAACAATGAGCAAGTAGTGACGATCACCTTGAAATCCATATCACCTAATGCATCTTCTGATCCTAGTATATCACTCAATATGAGTGGCTCTCCATCCCCTCCACAGTCTCTAGTGTTCAAAATCAAACCCATGGCTATTCCAGCTACAGGCGATTTAAGCGGAACACCCGCATCCAGCATAGCCAGGCAACCTCCACAGACTGAAGCCATACTACAAAGACAATAAAAACAACGAATAGTAAGTTCACAACAAGTCAACAACTCCGCACCGATAAGTACTTCTACAGCACCAATTCTACTTCTTCCAAAGACTGATGTAATATTCGGCAGAGGTTTAATACCTAGATGAGCCATTGCTCTCGGTGATAGTACTCTCTACTCGAATAGTATATGGGAAACTTTCTTCATCTGGAATAATGGGTTCCAATGCCCGCTCTGCAAGTGTTCCATGTCCAAGTTCCCGCCTACTGGGTGCACCAAGCCTTCTCACTTCTCCTACAGAAGATGGAGGAAATGAATACTGAATACCACACAGTGATGTTAGCAATACGAACATAAAGCATGCTCAAGCTAAGCCTCAAAAATAGTGGAAATGGGATTCAGCAACCAATGAAGAGGAAACTGACATTCTGCATAAATAACAGACAAAGGTGCACTATTGACGGTAAAGATGCGCAGGCTAATGTTCTACCTAAGCATAACAAATAAGAACAGGAGGTACAGAGATATTTGACGAACTTGTAAATAAAAGCGTTTGAGGTCTTCCGTACTGGTAAGATTATCAATACGCTGTCCCATACTGTCGCCACCCAAAGTTGTCACTACCAATGCCTGCATAGAAACCAGAAAATCAATTTCAGAGCGGAGGGCAAGTAGAGAATGCCTTGTAACAACTAACGATCAAATATTAAATAAGCTCGTCCAAGACAGCAAGAAACATGTTACACGTAAAATGACAATGTATAATGAGTAGCGAGAAGCAAATTCCTGGTACCTGAGTTTCCCCTCGAGTGAAGAGGGCACTGCCGTGAGTTCGTGGAAGAAGACTACACATACTTTGAATAGGTCGAACATCAGTAACCGCCCGACCATCACTTCTTACACCCGTCTGCATTGAGTTTCAAAAGTCAAAACTCGGAATCCATATAATACCCGTCCCTGACTGTATTGAATGATTCGACACCCTTGTCAGAAACCTCGACATTCACAATACTCTCAATTGCATTTTTGAAAATATTCCTATTGCATATTTCTACAAGATCCAAATCTAAAAAGTTTTAAAATAATACATAGGGATTGCAATTGTCATAGCTTTCGACTCTCATTCAAGCAAAATGCCAACCTCCTTAAAGCTAAAGCCATAGATTTCCATCTACTAATTAAGTCCTACGGTTACAAAATTGGTAAGTACGTTGACGGACCTTTACAATAAGCCTCCGCAGTACTTCAGAACAAACTTCCTTGTAAACTCGCTTCACGTCAACAGGGTCGAAAAGCTTCACAGTCACAACGCATAAAAAGGCCAATTTAGCCATAAAATACTAAATCTCAAAGCCACGTAAAAACCAACTACTGACGATGAGAGAACATGGTGCTATTCCAGATCAAATTTAAGAAGTACCCTGACATCCTACAAGTCTGTACCACTGGACTGTGTAATATTATCTTACAATCACAGGTAAGGCCCAAAGAAAAAGCATACCGTTCGGTAGCAGCACAAATGGAAAAGGAAAGGAAACTCAGTAAACAGACCACACTAACAAATCGTCCTAACCAAGAAATGCCTTGCATAGAATAGCCAAAATCAGAGCATACCTCCATTACTAGTTTTCTAGGGACGGATGTCACATGGATATCGCTCTCGTCTACTAAGCCATCTTCCACCAAATCCTCTTCTTCCTCCCACGTGCCAACCTGTACCTCTTCAGGAACATTGGCTTCAGCTGCTGCTACGACAGCTTGCTGTTTGCGGACCCCCTCCTCAGTCAATGCACCTAATAACTTTTCTTCGATCTCCTTGATTGCTGCAGCTCGCTTCTGCTTAACACCAATTTGCAATGCTTTCTCTAATTCCGTTCCAACAAGTTCCTGTTGAACATACAGCAACGACAGGCGCAAAATTTAGCCATTGTACAAAAGTAACTTAACAACTAAGGACAAATGAGTGGGTCATGCAATTATGTGAAACGTTAACTACCTCGAAAACTAGAGAAATTGATCCGAACCTCTAAATTTCATGAGCCAAAAAAATAGGCGGTCGGCATGAACGTTCTAGGAGTCACAAAAAAGAAACTGCTTCCGACAGATAATTTACTTCAGAATGAAAATACACAGGAACAAACAGGGAGACCAAAATCCTTACAGGATTACAAGCTCTTCTAATGATCACTTCAAGCTATTGGCAGTCTCTAACATAGATCACTTAAAAGGGTCCATCTACATATCAAGAGTAACAGGGCAAACCTCTATATAATCCTTGATTAGCGGCGGAGGTAATTGGATTGCATCGAAGTTTTTTTCTTTACCAACCATATCCGCTAATTTCTGCAGTCCAGCACAGATTGCTCGTACGGCATCCTGGAAGCAAAAGAACCAAAAGAATGAAAACCCCATTCATATCTACGATGATAATGTAGTACCTGTTCTACAAGTTAAAGCTTCAAAATCAAAAACCACTGATATTCGATAACACACGAAACCGACAAGAATGTAAGAATCAATATAGAGCACCAAGGAAACTGCAATAGGGGCCAAACCAAACAAGAAGCATTACATGACCAACTTCAACGGCCTTCATTAACTCCTCTTCAGTCAAAAAGTCACAGTAACCCTGCACAAAATCCAGGGTACAAAAAATAAAAACTCTGTTTCCACAATAGTAATGCGAAAATTCTAACCGATGTCATGAACTCATCAAGTCAACCATCAAAGCATACAAATTCATGCAGACAGGACTTTGTAGTGCTAAGATAAGCAGCTTCGATTCCCACGTGCTTAAATAAGACAACGTTCACGGAGTACAAGAATTTCAGCAACCGAGTTCCTGTTAATACATGATGAATGGAGACATTCATACCTCGATCATGAGCGTCGCATCGGCTGTTCCCGCTATCACTAGATCCAGGGTTGAATTCTCCATCTCGCCAACCGTTGGGTTCACTATAAATTCACCATTTACAAGACCCACACGTACGCCAGCTACTGGCTTTGACATGGGAATATCCGATACCGCCCTGGCAGATATCTCGGAATATGTTAAGCTCAGAGAACCTCGGTTCAGATACGAAACTGCTAATTGTTGAAGGATTCAATACTATTGTGAATAAAATGGGCATCAAGCAGGTAAACTGTTGCAGTCCATACGTTGATAAGCGAAAGGAAGTCAGTAGAAGTAACAAACGTTCTCATCGCATTCAACACATGGAGCGACGAATAATTTTTTTCAGATATGATGTGAATCGAGAACGTACGAAAAAATCGTCAAATAACAGAAATCCATTAAAAATCTTACAAGGCTGCTCCAGCTGACGTGATAGCCAAAGGGTCAGGAGAATGCACGCCATCATAGCTGAGAACCTGTTCATTATTTGAAACCATTGCCATTACATCATGGACACTCGCTACACCATCACGTGTCTTGTGGACACAACTTCAGATATAACATGCAACTTCAATCCAGAAATAAACGTTTCAAACAGGAAAAATCAAGCTTACCCAAACAAGCACTTGAGTTTCATAATGAAATCCATGGGCGATCATAGGACGTATTGGCCTGTCTATCAATCGGCACACCAGAACCTACTCGCGTACAAAATGTAAGAAACTGGTCAGTGGCTGGAGACCATGTGTATCTATGTCTACTAGAATTTAGATCAGGAGTGAACAAGCGGAGTTCCCTCACAAAACGAATGCTTCATGTTCACATTTCCGATCCTGAATGTGATACAATTGAGTCACATGAATCAACATTAGTTACAAGGAGCCAATAGACAATAAGCTTTCATACCTCATGATCGCGGACCCTTCCTTCCCTCTTCACGAAGCCGCCACTGAGGATACAATAAAATATCTTATTAACGGCCACTACAGCTATTTACTCATCAAGAAGGAAATCCATCTCAGCATGTCAACAGTAGAAGTGTTTATCCTCTACTTCAGGAATTTGGATATGTTGATAAATTTGATACGGATCAAAAATATGGCATTTGTGAAATGATCCAGACCATCAAAAAACTTTCCAGAAACAACTTCGAACCTTACAACATCCATTGTCACCAACTATAAGCAGCTTAAGTTCCTGTTTTTCCGATCGTCAGTATTCACAAGTATACAAGTTCTTGACGTTTATGATTAAAAATGAACCACCTATCCCCAGAGACCGAATACATTTAGATCATACCCTGCTATCCACTTTCTTGGAACATCCATCAGTAAAAACCAAACATAAGGGACCGCAATCCCCATGATCGTTTCCTTGCCCGAGGAGGAAAACGAAAACCTTGTCAATAACAAGAAAGTCGACTAATCTACTGGATAAAAAGTGCATCTCCAGCTTACCTGGTTCGACCAGCTGCTGAGAAGCGTTCCTGATATTGAACAGAGAGGGGGACGAAATCTGATGGTTCGCTTGGATCGCTCGACGAACATACAGTCGTGTAGAGCACCTATTTTGCAATAAACAGAATCGACATAAAATACACACACACACACACATATATATATATATATATATATATATATTACAGAAGTTCATGTCACTTGAAGTCAATACCAACAGGAATGGATGTGTGATAACTTTTCATGTAGTGAAGACATCAATATCCCATACTAGAAACACATTTGATAAGATATATAGACTCCAACAAACAACTTCATGTTGTATCTTTCGCCGTCTCAGAGAATGCTTAAGATAAGCATTCAGGAAATTAGTCTGCCACTACAGAAAACGAAAAAAATCAACAGTTGTAATCTGCTCACGGCAGGACTTCATGGAATTGAGGTTCTTTTAAAAAACTCACCGTTTCACCATCAGTAACTGTGACTGCACCATTGGCTTGCCTTCCAATTAGACCAGTCTCCACTACTATCTGCAAAGCAATAATCCACTATACGCGTGAGATCTCTATCCCTCTACAATTTTGAAAAAAAAGTTGTTGAATGCTAAATACCGAGTGCAAATTAACTACAAAACTAGGTGGGCGAAGTGCGTTGACAATTTAGACGATTCTTGGAAATTTGCTGTACCTTCAATCAGAATTGAAAGGCACGAACCCCCCAAAAGGCTAAGTCTACAGTTAAACTCGTACTAAATCTGAATTTGAGTATACATGCACACGTTCACGACAGCATGACTTTCTACGCGAACATCAACGAAAGTGATTCCAACCTCCCGGTTGCCGACTGGAATTGTTACGGAAACGGGATGGAGAAGCTGAGTGGGAGTGGAAGCTGGAGCTTGAGCTGGAGATGCAGAATTAAATGTCCCCCGCTTCTTGGTCGAAGGACCCTTCACACCCTCAGCTGCATCGGTCGCCCTGGTAATCCATCGATTTCACCATAAGTTCTCAAAAATCGGTGAAGGACATTTGGTTCCAACCCTAACCCATGTACTATCGCCAAACTATAATTCACTCGTCCTGAATTCAAACCAGGCACCCCTACAGAGGCAGCAGCCCGATAAACTTACGAATTTCTTTCGACAGATTGATTCAATTCAGCATCCCATTTACTTAAGACCGTGAAATTTAAATAAAATAAAATAAAAAATACCTGATACCCTCATCCTTGCATTCAACAACTAAGAAATGGCCATTGCCCGGCACCACTCGTCCGACTCGCGTGTGCACTCGCTCGACCCGCCTTGACGCAGGAGAGGAGAGACGCAATCCTGTGGCAGCTGACAAGTGAGGAGCCTGCAATGTTCCCTGACCGCCCCACATTGTCCGATGCTCACCAGCAATGCAACTTTCTCTCTACTTGTATCGTCCTGCTCCCATATGCAGCTCTCGGCACAAATCCTCCTCCCCTTTGCAACACCGACTACAATCTACCTGCTCCGCAATGTAAAACCTCACAAACTATTTCGAAATAAAGAATAAAATAAAAAAATACGCTGCGCAAAGGAATGCGAGAATGGAATTGGGACGCCGCCGCGACGCAGGCTTTGAGGAAGTGGTACAATCCAGAGTGCAGAAATAGAGAAAGGGAGAAGGAGCGCTCCACCAGCAATGAGAGAGAGTTCAGGGGGTTATCCTCAGAAGCCAGCCAGCACCCCCCCCCCCCCCCCGCTTTTCACCACTGTCTCATCCATCCACCCACACGTTCATCTTTATATTTATTCATTACACATGTATTCATTCATTCTCTGGATGAGTATCATTTATCGATCCCTACTTTCTTTCTCTCGTCCGTCGTTCGTCGCCCTCGCCGACGATGCTGGCATCATTTCCACAATGCTGACGAATTCGCTGTTAGGGACGAGGATGGGGACGGATCTCGTTCGTCGAGATGTGTTCGTCCTAATCCTCTGACGGTGCGGTTCCGCTGGAGGTATCTGGTCGTGGCAATGGACCTTTCATGGCCCCAAATTGGGCTTCATTCTTTTTGTGGGAATTTGTTTAGCAATGTTTCTGAGATATGTCTGACATTTTATATATAAAAGTATTTTTTTCCTTTTGGGTGTTTTTAAATCCACCACAATTTTTGTTACGCTTTAAATGAATTTCTATATTTTTTTTTTAATTCCAATCAAAAATTTAGTCAATTGGTTAAATTTTTTCACTTTAAAAAAAAATCATATACAGAATTGCATTTTATTCTCATAAGAAACAATTGAAAATTTGTTAAGAATGTGTTGTGGTGACAGTAGCAAAAATTGTGGTCACATTAACAACACCTTTTATTCTATAATTGGTGAATAGTATTAACTTTACAACATATTTTTTGGTTTATTAGTAGTCCAAGTGTCTATTGTGGCATGATGTGATGTGCAAATAAATAATGTATGTATCACATAGCACAACATGTATTTTATTTCATATTATTTCAAAAAATAATGAATTAATATAAAATACAAATATTATGAATTTCAGAAATAAAATCAAAAAATGAAATAAAGCTTATATATATATATATATATATTTAACAACTTAGGTCTAAGATAAAGACATAAAGAAGGTGTCTTATTGGCCAAACATGGATGAACAATGGTGCAAGTTTCTACTAGTATATATATATATATATATATATATATGTGTATATATATACATATACATACTTATATACATACATATATTAGATAATACAAAGCAAATCAAAAGAATAAATTTTTATTTTTTATCATTTTACATATTAACACATTCTTAATGAGAATAAAATTATTGAATTTATTTTTTAATTTAAGATTAAAAAAATGTAATTGGATGTGTTTATCATATTTTATGCATTAAAAAAAATTGTACATTCTATCCATAAAATCTAGATTTTAGAACTGAATTTAAGAAACCATTAAAGTTTTTTTTCAGGTAACAAGTAATTAATTTTTCATTAAAATAAAGAATATTTTAAAAAAATGTTATAAATTATATATTTTTTATAAAATTTTGTAAATTTTTATAAAGAAAAGAACTTCAATTTTTTTTTATAAATTTATAAGTAAAGGAAATAATTAAAATTTTATTATATTATATTAATTTTTTATAAAACTCTAACATAATGATATGGAATTCAATAGTATAATTAAAATATTTAACCATGACAATAACGTCTATTCATAGAACTTTAAAAATAAAAATAAAAAAATTAAAATATATGATGCAAAAACTAAATTAAGTTCCTATCATTGCATTTAAAAATTATGTGATGAAAAAAAATAAATTATGATGTTGATTTTGACATATGCTATATGTTCAATTGTTATAAATTATATATTTTTTTATAAATTATATAATATATAATTTTATAAATTATTACAATATTTTGAAGAAAAAAATACTAAATCATACATATTTCATGTTCAAACATCAAGTAAACATTGGATATTATTTAATAGTGCATATTGTTAGATATGTGTTCTATTACATATATTCTATTGCAAAACAATTTGCGCTATGAAAGTTTACAAATTAATGCATGATTAATAAATTCTAAAACATTTAATAAGTATTCAATGCAACTTCAAAAACTTAAATGATTTTTTGTAATATATTATAGAATTCATTTTATTTTCATTTTAAATTTTTTAAAGAGATTCATAACTTAAATCATCTGTATCAAGCAAATTCCAAAATTTAACTTTCTGGTCACAACTCTATCCATCACAATCCTACACCTAATTATTCTTTTGTGCATTTCTTCTTAATTAAATGTCACAATATCTTAAAACTTTGTGATTTTATTTTTGAATTGTTAATACAACCATACTATAATTCACATTACCATAATTTTTAGACATTAAGTTCTAATTCCTTAAAGTTGTTGATATTGACTTATAAACTTATTGAAAATACTTTGCTTTAGTACAACGTTTTATCTTAACCTAATTAATTTTTACCTTCATTATTTTCTATAAATAGATGTATTTATTTTAAATATTATTTCAATAGCTTATTCTAATCAAAGATTCTAATTAATTAGAATAGGCTTTAATCTAAGATCCAAAATCTACCTTCTTTATTAACCAAAATAATAGATACAACGATAATCTTTGTGTTTCTCTTCACTTCCTTAAGACACCTTAATACCTCAAATATTTTACCAAGATATCTCTAAGATGATTCCTAGTTGTCTCCAAAATGATTCTTAGTTGTCTCTAAGATGTAAAGCCACCACATGTGGTCTACTTTATTATTATCATAACTCTCACCATAAAATCTTTTTGATTATCAATTCAATTAATGATCCTCTACTAATGCAATCAAGTGCATGAACTAAAACAACACTATACTAATATCAATCTAATTATATACTTAGTATTAAAGACATGAATCTCAAATAACTAAAAGATCAATACACTCTTATGTCATTCTAAAAGACTAAAAAATCACTCAAAGATGATATAATATTAAACTAGAATGACTATTGCCGAAGACAAAGACTAAAAAGTCTTGAAACAAGACTAAAGATTAAAAAAAACTAATAAAAATGAAAAAAAACTTCATTCTTGCTTCTATATATATTATCTAATTATAAACTACATAGCAATATTTTATAGAACGTTTGATAAGTATCCAACTTGTGAGACATATGACTAACTTACAAGACCAATTTTTTAAATATGCACCACATAGTTAGCTTATTCTACAAACTACTAATATGTGCAACATGTGGCTAATTTATTGGCTAAGTTTCTAATCTATTAATCAACTATAAATATGTATACAATCAAATATATATATATATATCTATAAAGATTCTAAGAAGCTTTATCAAAACATAATTCCAAATCTATTTATATTTATCATCTATATAGTATTTTTTTATCTAAGTAAATATGTATTTCCATAAAATTATTCTTCTTTCTAAAGATGAATTCTATAAATAATAATAATCTACATTGAAGAAGTCTAAGATTCAACAAATTTACTACATACTGTGATTTTTATTCTCTTTAAAGGTGGTTGATAGGTATTTTAAGCTATTAATAATATTCCATACTAAGACAAGAAGACCACCCTATTATTTAATTATCATTGAGGCCTTCCTAACTTCCTACAAATAAAACATTTGAAATGTCATTAGAGGTTGCTTCTACTTCTAATCATATCAATAAGCTTGAGGAGTCTCTTCCAAGGTTGTGATACCAAAAAAATTGCATCTTGTCATTTATTTGAGGAAAGACAAGTCATTCTTAAAGATCTTCATTTCTATTATGTTGTCTTAAAGGCCATGACAATAATAATATCTTGTCAAGTAACTTAACAAATGATAGTTCTTAAGTTGAATCTACTAAATATTGATCCTCTATTTTTTTAGTACTATAAATATATAAAAATTACAAATAAGAATAAAAAATAGAATGCTATCTTTTTTAGATATTATTTACTTTATAGCAAAGATTTGTTATTCTTCATCTAAATTTTGATGGATGTTGTCAATGAAAAGTATTAATTTTCTTTGTTGTATTTATAAGATTCTTACCTAGCTTCCATGTATGTTTGTTATTATTATATCTACACCAGTGAAAAGATATTTTAACCAATTTTGATCTTGCCTTGAATCTAAGACTTCTTTGACTTCATATTCTTAATTATTGTCTACTTCTATAGGAGGAGGTGAAATTTTTCTTCTTTCTAAGATATTCAATATCTTATATGATTTAAGATGTAATATATATAATATAAGCTAGATCTTTATAGATTCCAATAGATATAATTGATAAGAAATATGATTTATTTATTTATACATAAGAAATAGTCAAAGTCTAAAATAATCCAACTTATCACGAGGAAAAATAGTCTTGATATTATAACAAAATAATATTATCTTGTTCTTGATGCAAAATTGACCTTGTTCCTTGCAATAGGCATTTGCATTGATATTTTATTTTTTTTGAACTTCTTTCAATTGTACCTTCATTTTTATATGTAGCTTTGACAAATAATTTACCAAATATTTTGCAATAAAATTATTAACTTTTAATTATTTAAAAATATGGAATTTTAGATGATAATTATAATTAATAATAAAAAAATTATAATATAGAAAAATATATCTTGTTATTATAAACAAATTCTATCAATGGTAAAAAAGTTATTTAATTATTTTATTATTAATTGATGATACACTTCAAATATTACTCCAAAACTTGGTATATATGCTATCATATAGTAATATGACTATATAGTAAAAAATTAAAATATAGATGTTATTATAAAAGAACCTAAAAGAAAGATGTAATAGAAAAATAAAGATAAATAATTAAAAGGTAGTAAAAAGTTTAGTTTTAATATTGACTTTTATAGAAAGAATTTCTATTTACTTTGTAGAGGCATAAATGAACCAAATCAAAATAAATAAAATAAGAAATTAGTATAAGTATGTTTAAGAGAGAATTAACAATAGATTAAAGCAAAAATTATCTCAAATTACTAAAATTTGATACTCAAAGAAGACTAGTTGTAATCTTGAAATGAAATCAAAGTTTAAAATACAAGCTCACACACCTATAGTGATTCTATAGCTGTTTTGTCAATCAAAGAATAAAATTTTAGAACGAACTTAAGAAAAAAAA